AAAACATAATGTTTATTTATTTTGAACTGTCTATCTAATTATCTAAATATATCACTCCAGTGTCCATATATCTATTTATCTTGCTGTCTATCTAATTATCTAAATATATCACTCCAGTGTCCATCTATCTATTTACCTTTCTGTCTATCTAATTATCTAAATATATCTCTCCAGTGTCCATCTATCCATTTACCTTTCTGTTTATCTAAATATCTAAATATATATCTCTAGTTTCCATCTATCTATTAATCTTGCTGTCTATCTAATTATCTAAATATATCACTCCAGTGTCCATCTATCTATTTAATTTGCTGTCTATCTAATTATCTAAATATATCTCTCCAGTGCCCATCTATCTATTTATCTTGAACTGTCTATCTAATTATCTAAATATAACTGTCCATCTATCTATTTATTTTGAACTGTCTATATCATAATCTAAATATATCTCTCCAGTGTCCATTTATCTATTTATCTTTCTGTCTATCTAATTATCTAAATATATCTTTCCATCTATCTATATATCTATCCGTCAGTCTGTCTGTCTGTCTATCTGTCAATTCATCTACATATTTATATTTCTATGTTTATCTTTTCTCTTTCTCTTTATTCAATAATCTTAAACTGATCATTTTTTGGAAAAATATAAATCACTAGCTGAAGGGCCCGGCGTTGCCCGTGAAATAAAAATAAAAAAATTTAAGAATTTTTTTTAGCCTATGTCACCCCCAGGCTACCAATGAGTGACCACAACAAGTGTTAACCTATTCGGTCCAGCCGTTTGGCCGACTATAGGGAACATATATACGAATGTCTTGTTTTATTAGATAGATAGTTAAACTGTTATAGTCAAAATCTGGAGTAAATAATAAGTACCTTGGTAAGTACAAGCTATGGGTCGGGGCCGAGCGCTGCGATAACTTTCATGTTTAAAAATTTACTGTTATGTCATTTCTTAAAATTAAAATTAAAACATAGTTATAAATTTTCTAGCTATATCCCCTTTCTCCTTTCTACTTTTGCAATTTATGTATGCAAAATTTTTGTCTGGAATTTTCCTTGGCAATGGCCTAAACACATAGTCCTATGCAGCAATATGTCATGAATCCGCTATTTCAACAAAGTTTAAATTTGTTGAATGCAATTTTTTTATCATATTCGTCTGTGTACTGGCACACTAAACCTGTATTAGCTGACTGCTTTTTATACAATGTATTTGAAATTCATGTTTAAAGGACTTGCTGACCAAATTCTTTAATTATACCTTTATTAATTAAAAATTAAAAATTAAAAAATGTCATAAAATATTTATCTACAGTATTTTTAAACCCCCTGCGATTGATTTGCGAAATAAAACAAAACATTTTCTTCTGCGAAAAGCGCTAATGTACACACACCTAAATTTCCTAATAAAAAAATCGCTTTTTTGAAATCAAAATTTTGCTGGCAATTTTTAAAATAAATTTTTTTGCCAGTTTAAAACTTCCATTTTTGAATACCCCCCCACAATTGTATTAACGCACTGTGCTGGTGCCGTTAATTTCTAAGTGCGCTGCCCCCTCATACCTTTCTTTCTCACTCAAGAGAGGGGGGGGGGGGGAGGCAAAAACTGCTTTAGTNTGAGATGAATCCTTATATCGGGAGGAATATGACGCTTGAGGGTTGGAGGGGGGAGGGGATATGATGTGTGTGGGTATGAGGGAATACCTGTCTGAAGAAGGGAGAAAATAGACAGTGATTAAAGACACCTCACGGTTCAAATATTTAGAATTGAGTTTAGAAATATTTTTACTTTTCTTTTTCTTTTTTTTACAAGAAATGTTTAATAGCTACCTCTTTCCCGTACACGACAAAAAGTATATTTAGATTTATTTTTAAAATATATATTTGATATTTTAAATATATCTTCAAATCCACCTATCTTAGCAGCAATGGGGCAGATATATATTTTTTATAAAGTTTTTAATCTTGTAAATTTTGTTCTTTGTCCCTGCTGCATAAAGTCTGCGACCACAATCAGACATTATCAATTTTTAAATAGAAACACGAGGTAACTTTCATCATTTTTACTCAGACAAAGGTTTAAAGGATACTTTTGTGACTCAGACATTCTCTTTTTTTTAAATTGGAGCTGTCAGTTAAAATTACCTTCAGACTCACTGTAAAGGGAGAGTTCGCGAAAATGAAAGGGGGTATAGGCTTACGGCGAAAAATAAGCGCTTTTGATCGCTACTGATCTTAATTCTATCTGTTGTGTCTATAAGGAGAAAATTGTTAAAAGCGACTCATGCTGAAGAACGTAGCGTCCATACAAATTCAGAAAGTTGCAACATTCAACTCGGATCGTAAAATAATCAATTTAATTCCAAGAAAATCATTCAGATATTACAGACAATAGTTATGGATTTTTTTTCGACGCATTCGCATATATTTAATATTTCATAAAAGTTTTGATTCTGTTTTTAAATAATATTTCGCTGGCGCTGGATTTTCGAACATTCCTGGAAATGTGAAAATGTCGTCTTCAGTATCAAAAATCCTTTAAACAGGAATAAGTGTTTTCAAAAGTAACTATCAGATCATAAAAAAAGTATTATGAAATAATAAACTATATACGAATGTGTCGGAAAAGTATCGATGATTATTGGTTGTAATATATTAATGATTTGCTTGGAATTAAATTTTTCGATCCGAGTTGAATGTTGCATATTCCTGAATTTGTATGGACTCTACGTTCTTCGGTATGAGTCGTGTTTAACAATTTTCTCCTTATAGACACAACAGATAGAAGTAAGATTAGTAGCGTTTAAAAGCGCCTATTTTTCGCCGTAACTAGCTCTATAACCGCTTTTCTTTTTTCGTGAACACTCCCTTTAAGGTGATTTAATTTGAACATTAAAGTTGATTTATACCGGGCAGTATCATTCATTCTCACTTAAACACGGTAAGTAATTGATTTATACAGGACATTTTTGTATCATTCATTCACGGTAAGTAATTGATTTATACAGGACATTTTTGTATCATTCATTCCCACTTAAACACGGTAAGTAATTGATTTATACAGGACATTTTTGTATCATTCATTCTCAATTAAACACGGTAAGTGATTGATTTATACAGGACATTTTTGTATCTTTCATTCTCACTTAAACACGGTAAGTAATTGATTAATGCAGGACATTTTTTTATATTTTAATTCTCACTTAGACACGGTAAGTAATATATTTATAAGGACATTTGTATCTTTTATTCTCACTTAAACACGGT